GGTAACAGCGTTCCGTGCGCCTCGGTGTTTAGTCATGCCGGCCACATGCCCACGGAAACGTCTTCGGACAGCGCTGGCTCTTCGGCTTTGAAACGGAGATGAGCACCGCAACCCTAGAGTCGGACTCGACTGGCTTTCGAGCAAGGGAGACCTTTACCTTTTCCTCTCCAACAGGGATCCGATGATGGCTTCCGTCATTCCCTCCTCCTCCATTTTATCCTCACAACCGCCCTGTGAGGGAGGTCAGGCCGAGAGCGCGTGACTGGTCCAAGGTCACCCAGCGAGCTCCCGTCGCATAAGTGGGGGGTTCGAACCTGGGTCTCCCAGATCCGAGTCTGCCTCTCTAACCGCCACACCACGCTGGCGTCATTTATCCGGGAGCCGGGGCCCGATTCAAAGCGCACCCGCCGGTGTCTTCCCCCACCTCATCTCTACCCTCCCCTTGCAACTCTTTGGGTGGCAAGGGGCAGAACTTGCTGGAATAATCAGCGGCGTCGGCATCTGCTCCCCCTCCCCAACTTGTCACCGGGAACTCTGACTCCCTTCTTCTCCCGCTCGCACTCTGCCCCACCCCCAAGTCAGTCTAGTATGAAAAAATATATAAACACGTGTGCTAGATGCTCCCAGAATAATACAATGACAAGAGAGACTAGATTAAAGCCATAAGGTCATTTAGTGTCTGGTAGTGTTGGAGCTGCAGTGGTTAAGACGCTGAACTGCAGGCTGTGGAAGGTCTGTAGTTCAGCAGTTCGAGACCCGGGTGCCGCAAGACGGAGTGAGCTCCCATCTCCGGCCCCAGCTCCTGCCAACCTAGCAGTTCGAAAGCAAGAAATTGCAAGTCGATAAATAGGTACCGCTTCGGCGGGAAGGTTACAGCGTTCCGTGTGCCTCGGTGTCTCATGCCGGCCACGTGACCACGGAAACGTCTTCGGACAGCGCTGGCTCTTTGGCTTGGAAACGGAGATGAGCACCGCAAACCTAGAGTCGGATTCGTCTGGCTTTCGAGCAAGGGAGACCTTTACCTTTACCAGTGAAAAACAACCACTTATTCCTTCATAGAAAAAATACAAAGGTGAATAAAATCACACTGCTCCAAACTCAGTCAATATCCTTCTAACAGTCTTGTATTCTCAAAAGCAGTCTGCTCCAGATTTAATCTCAAATGTGAGATTCCTATATAGGATTTGTTCCTGAGGAAAGACCAGAGGGTCTGAAACACTGAAATATCTGGAATAAGTGTTGAAAGAGGGATTGAATCTGGAGCAGACTGCTTTTGAGAATATCGATCGTGTGGGGGGGGGGGGGGAGTATTCCTAAAGGTTCCGGGCCTGCAAAAGCAGCTCCACATTGAGGAGGAAGTGGCTGCAGCAAAGCCTTCTCTACCCCCCAGGCACCGACGGCGAGGCCTGAGCGCCTCCCAGCCGCTGGGCCCGCCGCAGAATTCCCAGAGCGTTCTCTGCACACGGGCAGGGAAAGCTCTTTTACTTTTGGGGGGGATTTAACTATCCCCCGTAACGTTGTTTAAACTTTTCAGATTTTTCTGCACACCTGGGGACTGCCCCAAGTGCGCAGGAAAATCTCTCTGCCCCCCAAGTGCTCCCGATGTGCGGATTTAGATATCCGCACAGAGGGGGGCCCTTGGCTATTAGTATATAGACTAGAAGGGGGACCCACGATACTCACGGGGGGGAGCTCGACATGGAGAAGGAAGCAGCCGCAGGTGAGCCTTCTCCCTCCCCCGCCCCCCCCGGCACCGGCGGTGAGGCCTAAGCTCGGCCTGCCAAACCTTCTCCTTTCCCTCTCCCCCCCGGCGGTGGTGGCGAGGCCATAGCCGCCAGCCTGCCAAGTCTTCTCCCACCCCCTCCTGCCCCAGCGGTGGCGGGACAGTTGCCAGGGCGTTCTCTGCGCATGCGCAGGGAGCGCTATTGTACTTTGTGTACTTTTGGGGGGATTTAAATATCCCCGGTATACTTTTCCCAACTTTTTAGATTTTTCTGCACATCTGGGGATTGCCCCAAATGTGCAGGAAAATCTCTTTGCCCCCTAGGTGCCCCCGATGTGCGGGTTTAGATATCCGCACGCAGGGGGTATCTTGGCTATTAGATATATAGATCGACTGAGAGAGTTTGGAGCACACTGCTGTGTGTGATTTTATTGGCCTTTTTATCTTTTCTATGAAGGAATAACCAGACACTAAATGACGTTATGGCTTTACTCTAGTCTCTTTTGTCATTGTACTATTCTGGGGGCATCTCGCTCACATCTGTATATGTTTTTTCATGCGAGACTGTCTTGGGACTGTGTGTGATTCTTGTGGATTGTTCGCCCCCCCCCCGTCAGACCAGAGGCACCCGGCAGAAACAGCAGGATCATAACCGCGAGGGCGCAGCCGCCCCGCACGCACCATGCCCGTCTCGGATGTAAAGATGACGATTTCGTAGAGCGGGGCCAGCTGCTGGAACAGGTTGTCGATGCCCGGTCTCTTCTTGAAGCGCCAGCCGGTCACGAGCTGAGGAGGAGAAAAAGGGAGCCAGGCGGGTGGGAGAGGAGAGGAGAGGAGGAGACACAGACAACAATGCAGAAAGAGAGTCATCCTTTCCCACAGCTGATCGGCTCAAGCGCTTGGGGACTGAGAAAGCTCTTTTGCTCCCCTGTGGGGTTTGAAACCCGGAGCCGCCCTGCCAGCCAGGCCATATCTCAGCGGCTCCTTGCCACCCACCCGTTGGTACCCAAAGCCGTCAATCCTCCCCACTCTGCGGGAGATATTCGTCGGTGGTCTCCCGTCCAGATAACAACCAGGGCCGACCCTGCTTAGCTCCCAAGATCTGACGAGATCAGGCCAGCCCCATGTCGGGGCAATAATAACTGTGTGCTGCCGATTCATAGCCGACTTATGGCGACCCTGTAGGGGTTTCAAGGCGAGAGACGGACAGAGGTGGGTTTGCCACTGCCTGCTCCTGCACAGCAACCCCGGACTTCTTCTGTGGTCTCCCATCCAAGAATTAACCGGGTCAAGGCAGCGAGCGCGTCAGTTCCTAAGAAAAAACAGCTCAAAGGGAATTCAGTTGCCTTCATGATGCACAAATCCGTGCCTCCGTGCCCCTGTTGCCGAGTTGGAAACACACAGTCAGAGTCCAACGAGTTAGATGAATATCTGTCTGATGCATTGAAAACCGGGAATACAGGGGGCTGAGTGCCTTATAGCCCCTCAGCCATTCCAAAACTGTATTCTGCCATAACCAGGAAGGGCAGAAGGTCTTACACCCCAAATGACATCACATATAGTTTACACATTAAAGAATCTCTCATTGGTACCAAGCGGTTAACATCAT